GGGCAATGTTGGACCCGATTTTACACATCGGCCTAAGCAATCGAAGCCGTTGAGTAAGCATGGTTCTCAACCGTTGGATAAGAAAGTTTAGATATTATTGTTAAGAGATAATATTATGATTTTTAATCGTAATAATTATTTTTTTAATAAGCTATCTCGGTTTTTATGCAAAATAAATGGGATGGAGGCAAGTAGAGTTGTGATGGGGAAGTGAGCTTTGAATCAGGTTGGTTTGTTTTGCTGGACATGCATGCATGGGATGTAAAGATAATGAAGTGATAAGGGATAAATCCAAACATGCCAAAACGTGTAATTTGCAAAAGAATTGTGCAATATGGAGATTCTATCCTAATGCATGGTTTTTTGGGATTGGTTTTGTGCACGTGGCATGCGACAATGGAGATGATGGTTTTGCATGGTGATGGCAATATGGGTTTAAAGGTTTCTCATGTTTTTTAATAAGAAGCCTAGGTGGTTTAGATCTCTAGTGAGATGTGATAAAGCCTAGGTAGGCTTTATTTATCTGAACGATATGTGCGGCGTATTTGATACGGGATCAGGGTTTATCTGAAGGATATGCGCGTCATATTTGATACGGGATCAAGGTCAATTCCACAAAATAGAGTTACACTTGGACTCTACAAAATTATTTGGCCGCGTCACACAACATTTGCTCCTATAAATACAGAGGTAGTGGCATCGGAAAGAGCCCCACAAATCAATACAAAATTGCCCTGCGCAAACTCTCACAACTTGTGATTTTTCTTTTTCCTTTTTCGCTGACACATCTTCCGTTGGCATCAACAGCACTGTGGAAGCAACCGGTGACATCTTAAGTCGGCATAGATAGCTCTGTCACCGTAGAGTCAGTCGGTCTCGCAGTATCTTCCGTTGGCATCAACAGCACTACGGCGAGAACGATTGATTACCTATCTAAGTCTCGGTCGAGAAGGGTTTCTAAATCCTTATTGGTCGAGGTCATCTCATTAGCCTTCTCGGCGAAGTGAGGTGTTACAATTATTACATTCGGCACATTGAAAGCCGAATTTGATTCTGAACTTCGTAAGAATAGTAACCTTGTCTTCAGGTTCGAGAACCCAAGAGGCCGAGACGTGTTCCTTTCTCGGCCGCAATCGCAAGACGCAGAAGTCAGTAGCGCGACCCAACGCAACATCAACAAATTTACTCCTCGGCCGAGCTCGGCCGACGAGTTGGCACGCCCCGCAATCACCGAAGGACGTAGTTAGCTTAGAATATATTCGGCCTGCGCGCCACGTAGGCTTTGTAATTTCTAGGGTCAACAGTTATCCTACAGATTTTCTCTCTATAATCAGATGCTTCATATCTCTGTCTGGTTTTGTTCTTCTTCACTTTCAAGAACGATCAGTGTTTATTGAAGGTATATAATCCGTTCAGCCATTTAGTTTTCAATGTATCAAATATTTTGCATTGTTAATTTTCTGTTACTTTTGTTAATGCCTCCCTTTCTTTTGTCTAGGACATTAAGTGCATTTTTTGGTTTTTAAGTTTCACTGCCAAACATCAAATCTTTCATTGTGATCCATCTGTGAGATTGGATATATGATTTAAAAATTCTGTTAATGAATGTTGATTGTGATTCATTTGTTTTTTCAATCATGTAGGTACATGCAATCTAAGCAACTCTAAAAATGCCGACTATACTTCAGTCGATCAAACAATAGAAACTGCATGTGTGTATTATGAGAGGAAGCAGAAAGCAATTTGTCTCAGTTTTGGAATGTATTGGAATTAAAAAAGCTAACTCAAGGTCCTATTTGAATTTTCCTAAATTATTTATTTTTATTTATTTTTGGATGAATTCTTTTAGACATGAATTCTCCATGTTTCATCTGGTAGTTGAAAATTTAAATTTGGCACTTCTTCCATTTAGTTATTTAAGAGTTTGAATTTATGAATGCCAATTTATGTTTCTTGGCCCAGCTGCTATTTCAAAGCTGGAAGAAGCATTGTGGACTAATCATAGCAAATATGATGCTTTGTGGTGCTGGAAAATGCTTAAGCTGCTTGAACATTATGCACTGCGGACCAGAATCACACAAGCGTTCCAAAAGGTGTTGCAGTGCTTCCAAAAGGTTTTCAATGAGGTACTTCCACTTACAAATCCCAAAGAAACTATATTGTTTTTTTAACTTTTGATATGTATTAAGGAGGGTAGTGAGATTGACTGCATAATTTCTAATTTGGGTTCAATGACTTGCAAAATTGCAATTTCAAAGATCTTAAATTACAGCTTAGTTATCCATTTTTTTAAATTCTTGTGCATAGTAATTGATAAATGCAATACTATTACAAGGTTGTTATTACTGGGATGAAGCTATTCTTACTATGTATTTGCTTAGCTTGATTATAAATTAATTAGGGGTGGTTGAAAATTAGAATTTTATTCATGCAGTTTGTGTGAACTCTAAACTCAAGTCAATCCTTGACTTTCATCTACTTTGTACAAGAAAACTATCTTATTTCATGTTTAATAAAACTCATAATTAGGACAACTGTTTGAACAGAATGATACATAATTATTCATCCAATTTGTAATCCCGCAGCAACGCGCTGACATTACTAGCTAGTATCATCTATTGGTGGGTTGGTTTATGGGTGTTGATCAAGTAAATTGAAAGTCTCAAGCAGCTCTCTATATACAAACTCCTTCAAAAAGTCTAAAAAAGAGGCACGCACAAATATTGACCATCATAAAGTTTATGGAATCACGAACACATGGTTTAGAAAAATTTATTTCAACTCATATAAATTTATTCTGCACTCAACTTACTTTATACATCCAAATTATTTTTTAGTTAAACTATCACGTTCCGATTTCGAAGATACGTTTAGGATCGGCACGTGACGTCACCACATACCCATTCAATCTTCATGTCTCGCCTTCGAGACATGACCAAAACACAGTTAAAGATTCAACCACGCTGAAACTTTTATTTTATTTCATGGTTGCATCAAGCCATTCGTAGTTCTCCATTCATTAGACTCCTCCGTGAACGTCTGGAACTTTGAAGGTCGTTGGTATGTTGAGTTGCCCCTTGGTTTTCACCTCCCAAGACCTAGGGCCAAAGTGACTGTCTTAGAGACCTAATTAGAATATTTAAAGGTCTATCCTAGAAACCTAACTAGAATATTTGAACTATGAAAAAACTTGTGTTTCTTTGTTCCCCTTTCTCTCTTTCCAAAACCTCTTTATATAGTGGTTACGAAAATGATACAATGACTAAAATGCTCAAAAAATTCCCGAGCATATTTCAATCTAAATATCTCTTGATTTTCATCTAATTATCACATAAATAATTAAGAGGTTTAATACCCATGTGGTGGAATATCTTTGATTTATCCTATAAGATGAATCCTACACCATTCAACAAGGTTCTTGCGAAAAATAGTGTATCCAACACTATCACAATGAATATGAACTTACCAATCGAACAAAAATTGTACAAAAACATTTTTTTTTTTCATCTGTGTTCAGGATCCATAGTTGTCACTACGTTCTTCCATTCTGCTATTTGAGTAGAGTTTCAAAGAAGCTTGAGTAAAGTTTCAGACAAAGTGAAGTTCTTCATTTTGCTATTTGAGTAGAGTTTTAAAGAAATTTGAGAGGAGTTTTAGAGAAGCAGGACAAAGTGAAGTTTAGATAAGCACGATAAAGTGACAAAAATAGCAAAGTTTATCAGTCATTTGGTTATCACGTTTTTTGTTTCAAAAACTTATTAGTGTAATTACATTTTTAAGAAATCGCTAATGGCGTGTTTACCAATCGAGATTGGAATAGAGAGAAACAGAATTGCACTCTTTCCAATGCATTCTGACGTTTACTAGCAAATGGGGAATCAGAATTTCTGTGGAGACCACCCAATATCAGGAAATTGGGTTCCCTCTATAGAGGTGGTATTTGAATTCCGAGTAGAATGCTCCATCAGGAATCAAAATTTTCTACCCAAAATACCCATGTATATTCCTGCCCCTACGTATTTGTTTCCCTCACAGCACAAACCACCCAACCTTCGTGATTTGGAATGATGCCGCAACGACGAACGTGTTCCGAAGTGTGGGTACTGTGTACTGGGGCAACATCCGTTGGACGGGTGTTTGTTGTTAAAATTTTGTTGAGTGTTTTGGTAAAGCGGCTGCATAAAAAATGGGGGAGTGAGGGGGAGAGAGAATGAAGTAAAATTTTATCTAATGGGGTTTAGGGTGATTAAAAGTTTTTTTTTGTCAAACGATTGATTTTGTTAGATTAGATGTTAGATTTTTGAATCCAAGCCATCATGCAAGTGTTCAAAACCTTTTCACCACTATGGTAAAATGCCACTTGTAGGATGATTAAGAGTTAGAAGCAAATAAAAATTGATTCTTTTATGTCAAATTTGAACAAATCTACGTGTAAAGGGGCTTCTACATACGTCTAGAGTCTTCTCTAACAGCAAGAATAAATATTTTATACAAAAATTAAAAGAAATTCTCTCAAATAATAAAAATAAAAATAAAAGAATACAAAATCTACGTAAATTAATTGACATATAAAAAAAATTTAGTTAAAATAGGGGTACTTTAGTAATCACATTAGTTTTCATTTCGATTCATGTGAATCAGTAGACAGTTTATATAGATCAATGTCTTTTCTACTTCGATTCCAGACAGTTTTAGTAAACAACTTCAACGGAAATCTGATTCTGATTCCTCCTCAATTTAATTCCTCTCAACCTAATTACCGATTAGTAGACAAGCCACAAGCCCTTTGTGGTATATATATGGGTATAACTGTCGTTTACACATTTAAAAACCAATATGATGACTTGTTCCACGGTCTCAAGGGCTATCGGACAAAAAAAAAGAGTAAGACAAAAGAACCTAGCAACTCTCCTGCCGAACGCCGCCGGAGAATGACTAGTTTCTGAAAAGTAAATGACAACAACAACGTATTGACGATCGAGTATTATAATAGCATGCGTGTACAATTAGCTTATTTATAAGAGGCAAATGTGAACCTCCGGATGAGCTCAAACCCTCAAGCCCTACTACAATGAGCTCCTTAACAGAACCTATTACTAACAAGAAGCTTCTTCACATAGCCTTGTTTCCATGGCTTGCTTTTGGTCACATAATACCAGCTCTCGAGGTCGCCAAGCACATAGCTCAAAGAGGCCACAAAGTCTCCTTCATATCCACTCCAAGAAACATCCAACGCCTCCCGAAAATCCCACCAAACTTGACCCCTTTGATCGACTTGGTCCAAATCCTGCTTCCCCGTGTCGAAAACCTCCCGGAGAATGCCGAGGCCACCATGGACGTGCCATATGACTTAATTCCGTACCTCAAATTGGCACACGATGGACTCGAGCAAGGTATTACTAGTTTCCTACAAACTCACACTCCGGATTGGATTATTTACGATTTTGCTCCTTACTGGTTACCACCAATAGCTTCCAACCTAGGAATTTCGCGAGCAATGTTTGGGGGCTTCAACACGTACACCGCATGTGCTTTCGGACCAACACTACCGGATGTACTAAGTCGCTATAGTCCTAGAACACTACCCGAACATTTTACTGTCCCGCCCGAATGGGTCCCCTTCCCTTCAAAACTATTTTTTAGGCTTTTCGAAGCCAAGAAATTGTTTGACGCTTGGAACATAACGCTTCCGGCATTAGCGATTGGTTTCGTATGAAGTCAACGGTCGAAGGTTCCCAAGTATGCCTCTTTCGGAGTTGTAGAGAAATCGAGGGGGACTGGCTCGATTTGGTTCCAGAGCTTTACCACAAGCCCGCGATTCCAGTGGGCTTGTTGCCACCCTCGGTGCAAGATACTGAAGACAAAGAAGATTGCAGTTGGTCCATAGTTTGTGAGTGGCTGGACAAGCAAGAGAGAGCTACTGTGGTGTACGTTGCACTTGGGAGCGAGATTAATCCAACTCAAGAAGAGTTCACCGAATTGGCTCTTGGGTTGGAGCTATCTGGGTTGCCATTCTTTTGGGCTCTTAGGACGCCGAATGGATCAGCAGCCGGTAATTCGGTGAAGTTGCCGGACGAGTTCGAGGATCGAAACAAGGGTCGCGGGCTGGTCTGGAGAACTTGGGCTCCTCAGCGCCAAATCTTGGCTCACAAGGCAGTTGGGGGATTTTGGACTCACTGCGGTTGGAGTTCGCTCATAGAGGGCATACACCGTGGAATTCCTCTTATTATGTTCCCCTTTCTATATGACCAAGGGCTGAATGCTAGGTTGTGGGACAGGAAGGTCGGAATTGAGGTACCAAGAAACGACGAAGATGGATCGTTTACGAAGAAAGAGGTGGCCGAGTCACTGAATTTGGTTATGGTGGATGAGGAAGGGAAGGCTTACAGGGATGGAGCCAAAGAATATAGTGCTGTAATTGCAGACAAGGACCTCCATGATAGATACATGGACAAATGCGTTGAGTATTTTGAAAAGAATGTACATAAGGTTTGAATGCTTTTGTATTATCCTTTTGTATCTTCTGATGTTTATTTAAGTAATTGTGTTTTTATCATAAATTTTGGTCATTTATGTTTTGAATCAATCAATTTCATCCTCCATGGTTTGCCTTGCATATCAATGTTTTCCCTGCCGTTAAGTTCCGTTAGAAATTTCGTTAGTGTGTTGATGTGGCACGTGGGGGACCAATACAAGTAAGCACATTGCGCCGTGTGGATGAAACTAAAAAATCAGTAGTGTCATCAAACTATATATGCATCAAGTAACAGTCAGCATACAAAATGAGGTTTTACAACAGATGTAAGAGGCACAAGATCAGAACAGGTAGCAAGCACAGAAGGGAGGAGTTTATACTGACTGTTAGGATGCAGGCAAGTTATTTACTTGAGGGAGAGGTCAGCCTATTTTCGTCCGAGTCGTGCTTTGATGAAGAATCTCCACCCATCAATTCCTGGAATCCTTCAACCTTCACGGGTGGAGCCCTCAGAACACTCATGTTCCTGCACACGTGAGAGAGTTCCATAACGTCAGTGAAGCATTACTCGTATGGGTAAGTAATAATTGTAATCAGATTTTCCTTACTGCGCTTGGATTTGAGGAATTTGGGAAGCCATCTGTCTAAATTGATTTCCCGACTGAGCATGGACATTTGACATTGTAAGATTCGACGTTGGAGGAACTTGCTGCTGCCTAAACTGCATCTGTGGATGTCTGCTATTGAAACTGTTGAAGGCATTACCATCCATGGGTAACTCTGATGGGGCTTCAATCTTGACCTGTACCATTGGTCTTTCCTTATCCGTATCCATACCTGCTCGAGGAGTGGATGGTTGACATCTTCGCATTCTTTCTAACTGCTGCCGTTGCTGAAAAGGCACATTTTTTGAATGGGCAATTTGTTGCATCTGCGGATGCATTTGTCGAGACATCTGTTGGTTCACCTAACAATGTAATAAAATATACCATTGTTAATGATGTCATACTATGTAGAGATCAACTTTTTTTTTTTTCCTGAAAATAGATCAGCTTTTGGAAACTAAAATGCCCCTACAACTCCATAAATTTAAGAAGCTATATGGGAAACTGAGGGGGTATGTACAGCACCCCCACAAATAACCCATTAACCATCCATAAATAAATTATTTACAAGTATCAGGATCAAAATGTAAATTTATTAAGGAAACAATTGAAATTATCAATACTTGTTGGGGTAGTCGAATGAGATTCTGGTGCTGTGGCTGCAACTGAGACTGGATTCCGTGAATTTGCTGCTGAGTTTGCTGAAAATTCATGGAGCCGTCTTTGACTTGCTCCACTAGAGAGCCAAAATTACTTGTGGAAGAAACAAAAAAAGTAAGTAATGGATACACTAGAAAATTGAATTACTAGATGTGACTAACTTGCACAAACACAACAATGTTGATAATGGAAGTGGAGTTTAAACTGAAAGTCCAAACCTAACGTCCTTAGATTTTGCTATGCCAGTCTCAAAGTCACGGACAAGCCCGTTCTTAAAATTATGTTAACGGTCATAATGTGCCCTTCTATTGCTCATTCCCTTGTGCTTAAAAGATACTATCACATTAACGTTTATGGGGCATCTTCCATTATGAGATTATTTGTTAAGATGAGTGTCTGCAGCAAATTTTTCAAAGAGAATACTCTTACAACGGTAATAAACACCCTGGAAGCAGTTCATTTATTCATTAATCCAGAGCCTACAAAGTAGAAGTATATTCATGAAAATTACAACTAGTAGGTCTCTACCCAACATCACGAGTGCATAAAATACCATAGAAACATAACATCAAACTATTTTGATCAATCATTTTCCTCTTTTTTCTAACCCATGAAAATTCATACCCGCTTAAGTAAAAGATCATAATTAAAATATTAACAAATGAACCAACAATGCGACAGTAATTTATAAGAAACTACAATTAGATACTCAACAATAAAGAGAAAAGTATAACCTTAGATCCGTAAACTCACCCATATCCCACAGTTTGAAGGAACATCTTTAGTAGTTCAAGCGCTGAGCACTGCTTTCTGTAACTATCAGCAAGAAGTTTCAAGCTGCCACCCAATTTCTGGATATGGCAGCTTAGTAACTTGGAGAAAACATCAATTGGAACTTCTGTAGTACCTTCAAACCCAATACTTATCATCATCCTAGCTACTACCTTTTGAGATAACTGTGTTGCTTGCTCTTGACTAAGACATTTTTTGTTCCCTCCAAAAGCATTTTTTCTGCGGTGTATGATTCCTCCTTGTTCCATGCTGAGGTATTCAGGCCTGATGCCAAGCCTCTCAAGCATAACGGGACTCCTAGTCATTATCTGAGGCAATGTATCAAGAACTCCAAAACATTCCATTTTTTGGTTGTCATCCACTCTATTCAAAGGTGGAAGTGCACTATCGGGAACACAGTTGAACGTAAACATTGTTTCTGGGAAAAAAGATGTTTCACTATCAACTGAGTTACTACCATCTAAAAGGGAATTTGGATTCATGTGTGATGCATCTTGGATTGGATTTCCAAATCCCATATACGGATCTTCTTTGAAAGCTACGCATCTTTTCTTATGCCTCTCAAGAAGTTTTAGGTAAGCAGACATCTCCTCTGGAGTACGTTTCTCTGATTCTCGCTCCCCTGATGACAACCTAGACGGTTTGCTCATTCTATATCTCTCAAGAAACTGATTATACCATGTCTCAGACAGCTCGTCATTTTGAATCTCAATGGTATGTTATCAATTTCAGATTCTCCATATCTTGATCCAGCACCAAAAGCGGCTTTAGATTGAGTCTGCAAACACAGTAATAAACTATAGTTATATAAGAACTCTCCACGGTTCAACTTCTAACTTTTTTTGCTCATTTTCCTCCAAAATTTCTTTTGACACAAATGCATGAGTGCAGCTCAATTTATAAATGACATCACTAGGTTGGACTAGAATGTTAGATTCTAGAGTTCATATTGTTTTGGGTCCAGCACTAAATAAACTTTGCCAACTGAATTGGCGCATTTTGCTAAACAAAGAGGAAATAACCAGCAATGCAGCCATAGGAATTCTGCGAGATGAAATCTGACGACTTTTTTGGTTTATACACCCATTTCCATTGAAATCTCAGTAGCCAAGTATTTGAAACATATGAAAAAAACGTGGAATTTGTAAGTGTAACAATGAGAGTTAATTCCGCATTTTCATTAAAGGATTCCATACATATACTTCACATAATGTAGAATTATAACGAAACTACAAAAAAGGCATAAACATACCTAATCCATTTACTAATTCCAATTTACCAAACATATCACATTCATGGCACAATCGACGAAAGCTCGAAAATCATACCTTGGACGGCACCAAAGCGTCACGTTGTTGAACTTGAACCCCATCCTGAGACGAATTCTCCAGAGTGAAGTAGACGTCGTCAGGGTGGAGTTGCAAATCTGCAACCAAAAACAGTGGCATCGATCAGAAGCAATGAAATTAAGCCGAAACGAAAGCAATGAGCAACTAAGAAACTCACAAATGGGATTGAGCTTGGAAACGGCGATTGAAGAAGAAGAGGAGGAGGAAGAGGAGTTGGAATTGGGGCGGAGGAAGAGGGAAACGCAGGCCTTGTCGAAAAGAAGAGCTCGAGCGCGGAGTTGGAGATGGAGGGGAGCCTTAGATTTGGAGTCCATGAAAGCTTCCCAGGTTGAAGGGGATTTGAGGAAGGGGGCGAAGTGGGCGTAGGTGGAATCGCCAAGCCATGTGCGCCAGACTTTGCAGGATTCGAGTTTGCAGGCTAGCTCATAACCACGACCGTCGTCCCCGAGTAGAGCCATTTGGGGGAAAGGAGGGAGAGGGAGGGACAACTTGGATGCGGTGGTGGTGATTCGATAATTTTTTATTTTTTATTTTTATTTTTGATAAGGTAAATGCATTCAGAGTAAATTGTAACAATGGTCCATCAACGTTAATCAAATTGGAGCAGTGGTCCCTCAACTAAACATCCATTACCATTGGTCCATCAACTTATCAAAATGTGTAGCTATAGTTATTTTCATCAATTTCGTCAAAATTGTGTCAAAATAAGTTATGTTGGAATAACCATTTATATAATTAGGGTCCCTCAAATCATCAAAGTGTGTAATTATGATCATTGTTGTCAACTACGTAAATTTTTTTGTCAAAACGAGTTATGTTGGAAGGACCATTGCTACAATTGAGTTAAAATTAAGGGATCATTTCTCCAGTTGAATTAAAGTTGAGAGATCAATGGTAATGAATTTTTAGTTGAGGGACCACAACTGCACGTTTTGATGAGTTGAGGGACCAATGGTAATGGATTTTTAGTTAAGGGACCATTGCCCTAATTGAGTTAAAGTTAAATGATCATAGCTACAATTTACTCATGCATTAAGGAACAAAACTTATAGAGCAACTTGTTCCAGCACGTCAAGATGAAAAGCAGGAAGAGTAACTTTAGGAAACAGTGGTCCTAAAAGTGAGGATTAAAGATAGAGAATGAGGATCCTTGATAGGAGCATATTTATGCGACTTAGTTAGCTTGTTCTTGTGCATTTATGTTGTTATTTCTTAGTCAATTATGTATTTTAAGCTATTTTCGTGTGTTTGTAGGTTCAAATAACAAAGTTAGCAACAAAGTGCTATTTGGAGCATTTTAGAGCATTTTTGGGCCAAGATTGGATAGTGCAAGCATGAAGACATGAAGATGGACGTTTTTGAAGATTTGAAGGCTAGAAATCAGCATGTGTGTGTGCAAGTGTGTTGACCTACAACTCCAAACATCCATCCACTACACCCATTACATCCACTCATTACCAAACATCCATCCACTACACCCATTACATCCACTCATTACCAAACACTCACCCACTACACCCATCCACTACACCCATTACATCCACTCATTACCACAACATACACCACTACCACCTTAATTAGATGGTGGTCCTCTCCCTAGCCTATAAATACATC